CCCTAATTTTCCAAATCGAAAACCCTAATTTCCAAATCGAAAACCCTAGAATCCGATTAATCAAAACACAAAATTGAAACAAAAGAGGATGAGAAATCCCCTTCGNAGTCGTCTTCAACCGTATGGCCTATGGTCTGAGACTCGAGAGCCACCGCTTCGTCAACCTCCAAGGATTNACCACCGGAACNNACGGACACATCCGACTCAAGAGCCACCACTTTGTCAACCTTCGTCAACCTCGAAGGATTCATCATCTCAACTCTTCGGAAACTGCTTTGTCGAGAGAAGATTTGAGGGAGATGTGAATCAGCGTGAATCGCCAAAGGAGAAGAAGAAAGCAGAGAAAAAATTTGTTTTCGCGAAATAAAAACGTTTCTCTGCTTCTTGGCAAAAAAAAAAATAATCTGCCCAATCACACGCTGACACGCGTCCACATGAAACGTTTCTTTTGGCTCTGTGGGCTGCCCAAATCAGTTAAAAATCCAATTGTTTACTCATTTTAATGAGATGAAACGGGCCGAGTTTTATGGCTGAGGATGCTCTAAGAGAAAGATTCAAGTGTTTTAATTGATTTAATCTTTTGCTTTTTTGGCTTTTGATGTGAGTTCTTGAAGTAGCTAATGCAAATACCTTGTTGTTTTAATACCAACCTATGTAAAAGTAAGAACAAAATGGCTAGAGCTCACTCTCAATCTACCTCTCTGGCGCTATCTATGTACCTCATAAAGTGTTTATGTAACAAACTCATATATCTCTCTCTATACAACAAAATATTTGATGATCAATAAAGTTTCATTTTGTACTGTTTCAGGACTTGTTTCCGGGATCCATGCTTGGCTTATCTTCGACGGGTGTTTGTCATTTCTCCAAGTAGAGTTGGGTGATCACTGATCAGATCGAATAAGCGGTTCCTGCTCAATGAACAGAGCATACAAATCCATCATGTTAATCTCACTAATTCCATACAAACTTGACTACTACCACAAAAACACAAGATTCAAGCTCAATATACACTCCAAAGACACTCAAGTTTCTCACTTTTCTCCATGTGGTTATATTGCAAGTAGAGCAAGAAACGATACATGTAGAAAAAGGGATGATAGGTGTACCTCTCATCGCGACTCAGCCGAGAACCGTAGAAGAAAGCAAGAGAGAGCAGCCAACAATCACAATGATGGGCAACAAATTGAAGCCAAGCCCGACGAGTCATACCATCTCTAGCGAAGTTGATTCCAAGCACTGGCTCAGGAATTTCCGGAGGCAGATCCAGGACTTGAGGACTCACTTCCCATGTCCCACTAGGGTATGCGTATAAACAAAGATTCTCCTTTTCTACAAAACCCAAGAAGCAAATTTCAACACATAGACACAGAGAGAAAACTCCACACAAATTATCCAAATGCATCAAAGAAGATTTACCCGGACCGCAAGAAGCGTAGAGAGTGTCAACGTCTGGTAAAAGAGGCAAGAATGAGAAGAAAGATAAATACAAAAGATTAAGTAAAATGCAAGAAACCTAGTGATTAGGGTTTAGAATGGTCTTCATTGTTATACCTGTAAAGAGAGCTCGTCGAAAGCCGTTTCGACGACCTGTGAGATTAGTGAAGATCTGTTCAACGGTACTAGGATTGAAATTGTTTGTCACTTCTTCAAGTAGAGTTGGGTGATCATTGATCAGATCGAATAAGCGGTTCCTGCTCAAGATACAGTCCAAAGAGTTTCTCACTTTTCTCCATGTTGTTATGCAGCAAAAGTAAAGCAAGGAACGAAACATGTAGAAAAAGGATCATATAGGTGTACCTCTCATCAGGACTAAGCCGAGAACCGTAGAAGAAAGCAAGAGAGAGCAACCAACAATCACAATGCACAGCAACAAGTTGAAGCCAATCCCGACGAGTCGTAGCATCTCTAGAGAAGTTGATTCCAACAACTGGCTCGGGAATTTCCGGAGGCAGAGCCAAGAGTGGAAGAGTCACTTGCCATGTCCCACTCGGGTATGCGTATAAACAAAGATTCTCCTTTTCTAGAAACCCCCCAAGAAGCAAAATTCAACACATAGAAACAGAGAGAAAAGTCGAAACCCAACACAAATTATCCGAAACAGAGTGAAAACTCATGATCAACACGAATCATCAAATGTATAAAGAATATTTACCCGGACCGCAAGAAGCGTAGAAAGTGTCAACGTCTGGTAAAAGAAAGAAGAACAAAAAAAAAAGATTACGTAAAATGCAAGAAACTTAGTGACTAGGGTTTATAATGAGTCTTTGTTTTTACCTGTTAAGAGAGCTCGACGAAAGCCGTTTCGACGACCTGTGAGATTAGTGAAGATCTCTTCGACAGTACTAGGAGTGAAATTGTTCGTCACTTCTTCGTATAGAGTTGGCTGATCATTGATCTGATCGAATAAGCGGTTCCTGCTCAATGAATTAATATAAGTTTCAAACTTATGTTCTCATGTGTATATTGCAAGCAAGAAAATCAAGAAACCAGATTTAGATAAGGATCATATTTTACCTCTCACCACGAGTAATCTGAGAACCGAAGAATGAAGCAAGAGAGAGCAACCAAGAATCAGAGTGAGCAGAAACTAAAGTTAGCCAATCGATACGACTCAAACCATCTCTTGGGAAGTTGATTCCGAGAGCTGGCTCAGGAAGATTCGAAGGCACTTCCACGCTTGGTTGCTTCACTTCCCATGTCCCATTCGGATATGCGTACAAACACAGATTCACTTCTTCTACAAACACAAAAATGTAATGCAGAGATTCAACACAAGAAACAGAGAGAAAAAACAAAATGTAATGCAGAAACTCAACACAAGAAACAAAGAGAAACACGAACACAAATTCTATCAAGAAATTAACAAATGTATCAATAAAATTTACCCGGATCGCATGCAGAGTAGAGGTTTTCAACATCTGGC